TTTGGCTTTCATATTTTTTACAATATCTATTATTTCGTTTTCATTTGTTGCAGTGAGAAAAAAAGAGTTTGTGTTGGTCGGGGTTTCTTCCTCAGGTTTAAAATTATTTGGTTTGATTTCTGCTGCCAATTCTGGCCCGATGTTTACAAAAAAAGAATTTAGTTCCTCAACAATTTCCTCAGAATTGTTTACCTCTTTACCTTTGTTGATGAAGTACTTTGGTAAACATATGTTTTTGGACTTTTTATTTATAATAGTATTAAGTGCATTCCACATTGTTTTCATGTTATTCTTGTTCTCGTCCAATAGACATTGGTAATAATGTTTCTTGCAATGTCTTATTATGTTTGACAATTTATTCTTATATTTTTTATATTTGCTTTCTGATTCAATTGTATTTTTTGATATAAAATTTTTGTATAAGATGTTTTTCTTTTTGCAAGCTTGCAGTAACCCTGTGGTCATCCAAGGAGCTCTCTTTCTTTGTTTCTTTGTACAGACCACTAGGGGGCAGTGCTGATTATACAGTGTCTTAAGGATTTCAATAAATTGTTTATATGCTAAATCTACTTCTGACTGATTTAAAATACTGTACCAGTTATAATTTAGCAAGCTTGTTCTGAATTTCTGTTTATTTTACTCATTTTTGACTCGTACATATTGTATGTTCAATTCTTCTTGATCCTTTCTTTTAATATCAGTTTTAAACATTACAAAAATTGGCAAATGATCAGATAAGTCATTTATGATTATTCCACTAGTCATATCTTGGAGAACATTTGTGAATATGTTGTCAATTAGAGACTGTCTATTTTGAGTTATTCTGGTGGGTCTGGTAATTTTGGGATAGAATGAATTACTATATAATGTATGAATAAAGCTTTCTGTGGGTGAGTGAGAGTCTGTTTTGAGTAAGTCCAGATTGTAATCACCACAGATGAAGACCTCCTTTGATTCCATATTGGAAAACAATGTATTGATATGATCAATAAAAGGTTCTGTATTTGATCCAGGCGGCCTATATATGCAACTGATGAGTATATTTTTCCTATTTATCCTTTCTATTTCAAATGTCACACATTCCATTACATTGTCTACAACAGTTGTCATATTTTCCACAATTCGCCCGTGCACCTTATTACTTATATAAAGTGCCACCCCACCACCACCCTTACACACCCTGTCTTGTCTAAACATTTCGTATCCCACAATCACATAGTTGTTTTTATTATTTCCTTTAAGCCAAGTCTCTGAGATAGCAATAACATCAAAACTCCACTCAAGTTCATTCAGAAAATGTACAATATTGTCAAAATTTGCATTTAAACTTCTTGCATTTAGATGTATTATTGATAAAACTTCATCTCCAGTTTTAATAAGTGTCTGTACTTGTTGTTCGTGGTAATATTGACAGTTTACATGGTTTATGCTTTTGTAGAAGTTGACATCTGGGTGTCTGCATTTTTTTTTGTCAGATGTTCGTTAATATAAACATTAGAGCCTTTGAGCTTCCGCCCTTGTCTCAGTAAGGCACTTTTCTTTTTTCTATTGACGAACCTCATTATGACTGTTGCTGGTTTCTGTTTGTCTCTGCGCGGTAAGATGTGGCAAGCCTCGATATCCTCATTTGAAACGGATATTCCCTTCTTGTTTAGGAATCTCAGCACCTGCAGCTCCACTGAGTCCAGGTCTGGCTCCGTTGGTTCCCCCTCTGATGCTACGGCTCGCGCGTATGTCCGCGGTTTGATTTCCAGACCCGTAACAATAATGTCATTGATCCTGGTGTATTGCTCCAGGTCCGCCAGGCGGCTCTCTAAAGCGTAGATTCTTTTGTCCTTTTCCTCGTTTTGGATTTTTAGTTCTTTTACTTCTTTCATGAGATCAACAATAGTTTTCTGTTGATCTGAGATGTTTGTGAGTTCACTCGACATAAAGTTGAGAGATTTCTTGATGTCTGCCAGCTCAACTTCCATGGCGCTCCTAGCCTTAGACATTTCTTCTTTAGAAGTTCAGTATTGCTCACAAAGTGAAAAGATTAGTGACATGCCGAGTCTTCAACGCCCAAACTTCGTCTTCTTTTCAGGTAAAATCTGATTCACATCCACAAAACCGGGCATCGGTGATACAGACATTTTCTAAGTCCTAAAGCCTTGAATCTACAATAATACATGACAACTCAAACACGCAATGATGAAAACAAAGGGAGATTTGGCCAAGATAACAAGAGAACCCAGGTGTAACCAGAATTCAATCTCAAAAGCATGCATGAGTATTTCTCATCCCTCCCTTTTCTCCCACGTGTGAAAGTGAAGTCTTAATTCTGGGGCAGTCTACAAAGGGATGTAACAGCACCTGACACACCCTATCACATTAAAAGGCCTATCTAAGCACCCATAGGAAACGCGTGTGCTGCTATCGGGCCATTCATCAAAGTGCGCGCCGCTCTGGAGTGCGCATATTTGTCTTAGCCGTGCTCAGTTTACAGGATGGGCTGCGATAACTCATCCACACTCGGCGCTCCTGACACTAGGCTGATTTTCACTCATTATTTATTCTCTTTTTTATCTCAAACTTGAATCAGTGGAAGCAGGAGCGGTTCATGCGCAACGCGACTGCCCCCAAGCGGCTGCACGAGGGACTGCGTCCACTCAGACTGCTGTTTTCTGTGATGAAAACCTGTAACGAAAAAGCAGGTTTTAAACATGAAATAGGTTTTCAACTTAACTTTAAAACCTAAGAACCCAGCATAAATCAATACAAAAAGACCTTAGAAACGTGTTAGTCCCATATGAACCAACTCGGACTTTGAGGAGCACAGGGATGGGACTCATTCTAGTCCCAGAGTCAGGACTAAACATGGGGAGGCTGCATTTCACACTCACGCAGCTAAAATCTGGAACAATTCCAGGAAAAAAGTTCTATTTAGCTGTGCATACAACTGAGAGATTTTTTTTTTTTTTATGAAATGTGAGTATTTATGATCCTAATACTACTTTGTTTTGTTTAGCACTTTCAGTTGCTTTCTGTATGAATGGTGCTATACAAATAAACTTGCCTTGACATAAAATTGGACTCTTCTTGGATACTTCCTTAGTCCGTACATATCAACTATGATCTCATTATTTTCTCATCTAGAAGTGGTGACAGTATTCAAAATCATTCAATCCAATTTAATGTATTACTGTACTAAATCTCAACACCAGGGCCATACAAAGTTTATTCACCAATAACTTCAGAGAATAAAACGGTTCAAACACAAGAAATACGATAATAACAAAAACAGAAGAGTTATTGGGAGTAGGATGACCAATGACTATGAATGTGCACTTTTGTAGTTTCATAAATACATTATGTTTGAGCTGACAGAGAGTGTGTTGTTGGAGTAACATCGCCTCAAATCAGACCACGTGCCGTCTTCACTTCTTATTCATGAGTCGAGTGAGGGTGGTCCTCTCTTTTTCACTTTTCTGGCTGCAAAAACTGATCTAGAGATGTGACAGAGACATGCATGTGAAAGAAGCAAACTGTTTCAGAGCCAGAAACTTGGATGAAAAATGGATTTGTTTACAGGTAATTCTTTCTGAGGATAGGTACCCTGGCTTTAAAAGAGTCATTTAAATACTTTTGTCTGAGTTGATTTTTGTACCAGTATGTGTGCTATGCTCAGGTCACAAGGGTTAAAGAATACCCTAAATAATGTATTATTTAGCTGAATGCTGATATTTTCCTTGCTTGACCAGCCCTGGGTCATTTACAGGGATGTCAAAGTCAAAAACATCAAAAACAATTACGAGCCGAGGCCCGGACCGGTTCAATGTTTATTAAAAAATATTACCATGATGCATAAAACCTATTGAACCAAGACCTAACACAGTGGACCATATTCTATACAATGTATAATAATCCAATGCTCAGAGACAAACACAAACTTCCTTCAAAAGAGAAAACTCACGTCCTGAACATGAAATGAATAATCCAATATTTTCTTAGAACCAGCCGCACAGAGTCATAATACTAATCAAATGTCATCTTGGGTGCCAAGATAATTCATTCACAGGCCGTATCTGGGCCCTGGGCCTTGACTTTGACACCCAACTTTAAACATCTGGAGCGTTATTTTGACCCGAGGGTAACACATGAGTTAAAGTAGCAACATGTAAGATTGTCATGTCAAGTCGTCATTAAAGGGCCCTAATCTGTCAAAAGGCATTAATAAAACATGTTCTTTTCCAATACTTCATCTCAAAACAGTTCTGGGATATTCAAATTTCACAATTGGATTTACAGCCCGTAAAACTTGTTATTGTTTTAATTTTGATAAAACATAAAAGCTTCATGAATACACACGTTTTGTCTCCAACACATGGACAACCTATTCCAAAAAAAATCTAATTATATGACACATTCACTTTGTCTAAACGTACACACTGCAAAAAATGATAAGATATGAGGTAGCTTGAATCGTGTGCTTGTTTTATGTTAATTTGCGTTAATTCTGACTGACTTAAAACAAGATTTTCCAATGGAACAAGCCATTTAGTCTTATTTCTCATTCCAAGGGAGATATTTCTTGTATCTTTTTATAACAAGACACTTTTGCTTTGTCCCATTGGCAAATCTTGTTTTAAGGCGCTCAAAATGGGCTCAAATGTGGATCTTTTTTTGCCAAATTTCAGCAATATTTTACCGATTCTTTATCACTTTTTGCACAGACCTCATGCCACAACATCAAGAACAGACCTGCACTTGTTTTTGTCTTACTCCATTCAAAATCAAGAGCTTCTGGTAGAAATCCTTAAAAATATACCCCTCTACATCATGACGTCAGGGTAGAAACTTAATCTAGTAAGTTGTAATGGATTTCCCACAGCATGATGGATTTAAAAACACAAACTAGCTGGAAGAGACGTCGGACAGTAGTGTGGCTGGATCTATGAAATACTGTTAGATCTGTTTTTGATGAGGGCCGCTGTTGGAACATGTTCAGCTGGACCTGGGCTCTAGGCGCTGGTGCCCAGAGTGTGTTCCGGGTCTGCACTGGTCAGGAGCACACAGATGCGCTTGGACAGCTCGGGGCCCACCCTGCGCACCGTGGATGTCACCCCCTCGCCTCTGCGGATCTGGATGTCCGACAGCAGTGCCATCCGGTCCTGGTCCGTTCGACAGGAGAGGTAAGCCTGGAAACAAGAGGAAGGACCAGACGGAGAGGTTATGTGTGTTTACATCGAGCCCCGGTGATCCAAGATGGCGTCCTATTCAAATCAATGGCTTGTGCTCAGTATCGCATGTGTCACCATAAAAAAAGATTAGCGGAACTCGCCCATAATTGGTCATTTCCCTGGTTTTCCCGGTTCTGTGCAGTGGATGAGCTCCCATGATGCTCTGCGCTAAATACGCGTGTGGCTCTCATGCACGTGCACAGAAGGGCTTGGGCGCGTCCTGACCAATCAGACGCTGCTGATCAGAGCAGGAGCCAATGGAGCAGAGTTTGTGTCACTAAAGTGTGGATTTATAGAAAACCAAAGGATTTAAGAAGAAAAAAAGTTCATGACGACGAGGGGCACTAAAATCCCCACTAAATCCAACCTTTATGAATGCTGTAGGTTCTCTGTCAGGTTCTCTGTCAGCTGAGGTGGAGCTGTTTTAGTTTACAATGAGTTCTATGGGGAAAATGTCTGAGTAGCCCACATGAATCTAGCAGAGAGAGAGCAGAGAGAGCAGTGAGAGAGCAGAGAGAGAGCAGAGAGAGAGCAGTGAGAGAGCAGAGAGACTGTAGAGAGAGCAGACAGAGAGCAGAGAGAGAGCAGAGAGACTGTAGAGAGAGCAGAGAGAGAGCAGAGAGACTGTACAGAGAGCAGAGAGAGAGCAGAGAGACTGTAGAGAGAGCAGAGAGAGAGCAGAGAGACTGTAGAGAGAGCAGAGAGACTGTACAGAGAGCAGAGAGACTGTAGAGAGAGCAGAGAGAGAGCAGAGAGACTGTAGAGAGAGCAGAGAGAGAGCAGAGAGACTGTAGAGAGAGCAGAGAGAGAGCAGAGAGACTGTAGAGAGAGCAGAGAGCAGAGAGAGAGCAGAGAGACTGTAGAGAGAGCAGAGATAGAGCAGAGAGAGAGCAGAGAGACTGTAGAGAGAGCAGAGAGAGAGCAGCTTGAGCTCTTACCTCTGTTAGAAGCCGCGGTGAGGCGTACTGGCTGAGCACGGCTGATGCCATGTCTGCACTGACGAGGTGAAGCTGCTGCAGCTGCCTCCTCCACACCTGCAGCAGCCCCTTCCCCCCACGCTCCACCCGCTGCCCCCCCGCCCACTCAGACTCCAGGTGGAAGGAGAAGGCGGTGTTGTCCCGCTCCCGCCTACGCACGCACACGCAAACACACACACACACACACACGCACACACTGTAATACTGCCTGAAGCATGATGGTGATAATATGTACATGTCATTTCATGTTTTAGAATGAGATATGATTCCTTTATTACAAAATATACAGCCTTACTGCATGAGAGATTCTTCCATTTCATAGTACGTACAAAATGACAGCTCCTGACGTGGCACAATATAATTTTCATCGCTACAACAATGACGTTGTGGTGCTTGTGCACGTACATGTACACAATTCTCAGGTCAGTCCTGTTTCCAGCATCAGCATGCTCAGGTAGATGAAGGACCACAGCTCTTTGTAACATTCATATACATGCTTCCAATGTGTTGGTTTCACACTGTTGTAGATGTATGTTCTGGTGTCATATAAATAAATTATTATTTAATGAATAATTGAGTCAAAGTTTCAGAAGCGCCCACAGCCTCAAACTGCCTCTCTCTTTCTCTTTCTCTCTCCCTCCCTTCCCCTGAACAGAGTCGAGTGTGTGAATGTTGGCGTCATACGAGTGAGAGGTGCGTACTTGAAAGGAGCCTCGGCCACGGCTTTGGTTGCCATGGTGATGTGCTCTGTGAAGTCCTTCCAGGTGGACAGGAAGCGCACGCAGACCCCGGTGTGCAGCTGCAGGTGGACCACGGCCTGAGGAGCAGCAGTTTACAGGCTTTAATGAGTATATACTATTTTTATTATTGTAATTGTATCCATTTATGCTCTGGTTTCCTTCATGGTGTTTGTATTTATGTATCATTTTATTGTTATTCTCAGTTGCACATTAGAATCATTCAATTCAGTTCAATATGTTCTTGTATCAGCCTAAATCACAATAATAAGAAGTTATCTCGGAGGATCGGGAGCGGTAGCCGGGCTGTGGGAGCGGCTCTCTGATAGTAAGTAAGTAAGTAAGTTTTTATTTATATACCGCCTTTTCACTGCAGATCTGAGTCTCAAAGCGGTTTACAATTGTTAATTTTGGGCATTTGTCTCTCACTCCACACAAAGATGGGAGCGGGGTCGCCAGTACAGGAAGCGCATGCCAGAACTATTGGACATATTTTTAGTGGTAGGGGAAACCGGAGTACCCGGAGGAAACCTACGCAGACACGGGGAGAACATGCAAACTCCACTCAGAAAGGCCCTGGTCCGACCGGGATTCGAACCCAGGACCTTCTTGCTGAGAGGCGAGAGTGCTATCCATTCAGCCACCGTGCCGCCCAGTACCGTGCCGATACCAGTGCAGACGGCTCCTCGGATGGCACTTCCTCAGCTGCACTTATTGAAACAGTTTTAGTCGATCGATTTCACTGTGTCAATTGTTTCCTGCACTTTTTTAGTCTGTTTTATTTCTGTACTTTTAACCTTGTTTATTTCTGTACTTGTCTATGTACTGGGGACTTTTGCAAGTAGTTTTACTGCAAATGGCAAATAAGATTAATCTGATTATCTATAATTAGCCTCAAGTTTAGTAAGTAATGTAAGTAAGTAATGTTTATTTATATACCGCCTTTCACAGACAAGGGTCACAAAGCGGTTTACAATTGTTATTATTTTTTTGGGCATTTGTCCTCTCACTCCAGACAGAGATGGGAGCGGGGTCGCCAGTACAGGAGGCGCATGCCAGTTCTATTGTACATATTTTTAGTGGTAGGGGAAACCGGAGTACCCCGAGGAAACCTACGCAGACACGGGGAGAACATGCAAACTCCACTCAGAAAGGCCCTGGTCCGACCGGGATTCGGACCCAGGACCTTCTTCCTGAGAGGCGAGAGTGCTATCCACTCAGCCACCGTGCCGCCCACGGTTTTATCTTTTCAGTGAGTGAGTGAGTGAGTGAGTGAGTGAGTGAGTGAGTGAGTGAGTAGGCATGACTGGGGTTGTCTGTGGGTCTGGTGGGAGGTTTGTTGGATGAATTTCTTAACTAATCTGTAAAGCACTTTGTTGCATCTTTGTATGAAAAGTGCTTTATAAATAGGGATTATTTTAAAGCACAAATATATAGGCCTGTGTAATTATAGAACCTTCTTCACCTGAGACACATGTGAGCAACAGGCTATGAAACATGTTGGGGTTATTGTGGCCTATATTACGCTGCATTTGTATCTACAGTGGGGCAAACAAGTATTTAGTCAGCCACTGATTGTGCAAGTTCTCCCACTTAAAATAATAACAGAGGTCTGTAATTTGCATCATAGGTACACTTCAACTGTGAGAAATAGAATGTGAAAAAAAAATCCAGGAATTCCCATTGTAGGATTTTTAAAGAATTTATTTGTAAATTATGGTGGAAAATAAGTATTTGGTCAATAAATTCAACTCAATACTTGGCAATAACAGAGGTCAAACGATTACTATAGGTCTTTACCAGGTTTGCACACACAGTAGCTGGTATTTTGGCCCATTCCTCCATGCAGATCTTCTCGAGAGCAGTGATGTTTTGGGGCTGTCGCTGAGCAACACGGACTTTCAACTCCCTCCACAGATTTTTAATGGGGTTGAGGTCTGGAGACTGGCTAGGCCACTCCAGGACTTTCAAATGCTTCTTACGGAGCCACTCCTTCGTTGCCCGGGCGGTGTGTTCGGGATCATCGTCATGCTGGAAGACCCAGCCACGTTTAATCTTTAAAGCTCTCACTGATGGAATGAGGTTTTGGCTCAAAATCTCACGATACATGGCCCCATTCATTCTTTCCTTAATACGGATCAGTCGTCCTGTCCCCTTAGCAGAAAAACAGCCCCAAAGCATGTTGTTTCCACCCCCATGCTTCACAGTAGGTATGGTGTTCTTGGGATGCAACTCAGCGTTCTTCTTCCTCCAAACACGACGAGTCGAGTTTATACCAAACAGTTCTACTTTGGTTTCATCTGACCACATGACATTCTCCCAATCCTCTGCTGTATCATCCATGTGCTCTCTGGTAAACTTCAGACGGGCCTGGACATGCACTGGCTTCAGCAGGGGACACGTCTGGCACTGCAGGATTTGATTCCCTGTCGTCGTAGTGTGTTACTGATGGTAACCTTTGTTACTTTGCTACTACTTATTTGTATATATACTGTGTGCTCTTACTACTGTCCTATATGTGCGCTGCAACATCGAAATTTCCCTACTGTGGGACAAATAAAGGAATTCTTATCTTATCTTTGGTCCCAGCTCTCTGCAGGTCATTCACCAGGTCCCCCCCGTGTGGTTCTGGGATTTTTTATCACCGTTCTCATGATAATTTTGACCCCACGGAATGAGATCTTGCGTGGAGCCCCAGATTGAGGGAGATTATCAGTGGTCTTGTATGTCTTCCATTTTCTGATAATTGCTCCCACAGTTGATTTGTTCACACCAAACTGCTTGCCTATTGTAGATTCACTTTTCACTTTTCCTGGTGTCCTTTGACAGTTCTTTGGTCTTGGCCACAGTGAAGTTTGGAGTCTGACTGTTTGAGGCTGTCTTTGAGGTGTCTTTTATACAGATAACCAGTTCAAACAGGTGCCATTAATACAGGTAACGAGTGGAGGACAGAAGAGCTTCTTAAAGAAGAAGTTACAGGTCTGTGAGAGCCAGAGATCTTCCTTGTTTGAAGTGACCAAATACTTATTTTCCACAATAACTTACAAAATAAATTCTTGAGAAATCCTACAATGTGAATTCCTGGATTTTTTTTTTCACATTCTGTCTCTCACAGTTGAAGTGTACCTATGATGAACATTACAAACCTCTGTCATTATTTTAAGTGGGAGAACTTGCACAATCGGTGGCTGACTAAATACTTTTTTGCCCCACTGTATAACTTATCCATAGTGCTCTTATTTATTTGACCACATCTGTCGCTCCTGAGGTTTTTGGTCCAGTGTTTTTTCTCAGTGGGTGGGGGCCTTATGATCCATTATTTGAATTCAAAGTGGACCCTCAAACATGAAAAATCTGTCATCACTCGTCCGTCCATCAGTGTGTAAAGACTGTGGCTGGACATCGCACTCAGACTCTGATAATCTCTGGAGGACATCGCTCTAACCAGGTGAAGAGCTCCGAAGTGCCACTCACCTCCTCCAGCTCCACTCGACTGAGCTCTGGGAGGCTCGCCGGCGCTGCTCCGTTCTTCCTCTTCCTCTTCCCTCCGCCCTCCTCCCCCACCACTGCCTCCCGGAGCTTCTTCTGGCTCTGGGCCTTGTGTGACCTGACATTAAAACAACATGCTTTTCATCACCATAAGCGCTCCAAAGACAGGGAAGGCTTGGTGAGCATCCTCCAAGACCATAAATGTCATGACACTATTTTTTTTATTGTATTTGGCTGTGCAGCTTTACCATCATCCACAACTACCATAAAAGACTGCAAGCGTGGAGACTTGGGATCAGGAGAGTTTCTAACTTCATTATCATTTGAAAATTAGACAATTCAGCCCAAGCAAAATCTTAAACTAAACTTAAAATGAAGGCTGTCAAAATTATTGCAATAACGCACGTTAATAATTTTCTTCATTAATCGTGTTTTAAAAATATCCGCGATTGACGCATGCCGCGGACACACGTGTGTGCGATAGAGCAGGTAGGCTCTCTGGGAATCCATGTTTTAAAAGAATACACACGTGACCGCGAGGCACTTGTTGTTTCCTGTATGAACTCTGCGAGCTGAGCTGCGGGCGCTCTGGACAGCAGTTCCCACCTCCAGCGGCTGTGATCACGGAGAACGGCGCAGCGTAACGTGATCATATCCAAGACCATACACGCACAGAACTATTCCCTGCTTGTAGTGTGCGTGTCTTTGCGTAACAATATATACAGCGCTGAAGCTGGACTGCGGAGCCTCAGTCTCCTCCGTGTCTTCTCCTGAAGCGCACTCGCAAAATTAAAGCTGGGGTACCTAATTTTCCCTTCCACTACCAGTTCATGTTTGTTGTGCCAATGGTTTTGGTCTGAGTCACTACAGAAAGACAGAATTTTAATAATGTTAATACCATTTTATGTGGATTTATTGTATAATAAACAAATACAGTACATATGTTCACTATGCTGTCATTTATCTTTCCATTCAAACAACCATTTACAGAAAAATATGGCATCATTTTGATGATAGTTTGAAATGTGATAAATTACGATTTATACATTTTTAAGCTGTGATTAACTTTGTGATTAAATTTAATCGTTTGACAGCCTTACTTAAAATACAAAATTAACCAGTCTAAATAAGCCTAATTATGTGAAAAAAAACAGTTGCAAAATAAGTAAGGGAGGTCAAGCATAGTTGTATTAACCAGGGCCTGGCTGGTACTGTGATGGGAGACCTCTGGCAACACCAGGTGCCACAGTGGGGCGACTGCGGCTGTAAAGTGCCAAAACTGTTCTTAGGCAAGACATTGCCTAGAATGAGTCTGGTGAGTGTGTGAATGGTTGGTGGTGATCGGAAAGGCCGATGTCATAGACTGGTTCTGTCGCTTCTGTCAGTGTGCCCCAGGGCAGCTGTGGCTACAGTAGCAGTTTATCACCACCATGTTTGTAGTGATTTAAGAATGACACGTGAAGTGTCTTTGAGCGTCCGAAAAAACGCTATACAAACCATTATTTTTATATTATTGATAATATCAAGATATTAACTGAATACTTTACACAAACAGCCAATATAAAAAGCCTCCAAATGTTTTTTGATCTGGCCCTCAACCAAAATTAGCACCAGACTTCTGAGATACATACAATATTGAAATGATTCTCTTCTTTATCTTGTGCCCCTTCCATGGGTACACAGGACAAATGTGTGCTACTCAACATACAGTACTTCTTATAATATAGTACTTCATTGGTCTTCATAGAGAGTACATACTTAGGGTAATATAGGTCAAATTGGTGGATGGCAAGAATTTTTTTTTTTTTTTTTTTGATTTTCTGAAGTTTGATTTGCAGATGTGTGTTGTGACGTTGTCTTCTGCAGAAGTAAATGTATTTGTTCGCTGCCAGAACTGACCTGAAGTATTGCTCCAGTCCCAGCACCACCAGGCTGAGCCGCTTCTGTGGGTTTCTCTTCTGCAGAAGCTGGATCCACGAGGTGAGGGTGCAGCCACACTCAGCCCGGCCCGTCTGCTCCTCCTGCAGGCAACCAGAGGTAAAGCTGGGGTACACAACTTTAATCTGCATTGAATAAAAATCATTTTGGCCCAAACTGAATTTTCAATCAGCTGTGTCCTTACGCAAGACACTTCACCCACATTGCCTGGAATGAGTCTGGTGTGTGTGTGTGTGTGTGTGTGAATGGTTGGTGGTGATCGGTGGGGCTGATGGCACAGACTGGTTGCCTCGCTTCAGTCAGTGTTCCTCAGGGCAGGTGTGGCTACTGTGGTAGTTTATGACCACCGTGTATGGAGTGTCCAAAAAAGCGGCATACAAAACCGATCATTATTCTTCTCATTATTTTTGTTTCCAAACACCAATTATTTTTATTTCATCAAGCAGACATTAGTAAAGACGAGTCCCTCCATTTATGCTACTGAACAGAATAAGACACAAAAGGCCGCAAGAGCGTAATTATTAAGATGAACTCAGATACCCTTCATCTGCTGTGAGGAGAAGGACCAAATTCTGAGTTTTTTTCTGCCTGGAGCAAGCGTTTTTTTTTTCAACACAATAACATTTTTCTGATTTTAGGGTTAGGGCCATATATACAGTACCAAGACAGCAGTGTGAAAACTGCATTGCGATTGCCTGGTGTCACTACTGGGTACTAGTTTGTGAAACTTGAAACAAATGGGACACTCGCCTGTTATAATAAGTTATATTTAAAATGGCAAGCAAAGATTTTTACAATATGCACAGTCTCTAGAAAACAAAGGCCTCTGCATGTGCACCTGGATGTAGCTGTGGCTCAGGGTGATGAAGTCGTCCACAGTCATCTGGATCACCACCTGGTCCTCTGGAACACCGTCTGCATCTGTGCCTGACTGAAGGAAACGGTTTTAACTGGACATTACTGAAGGAAAGCAGATATAAGAACTGTTTTAAAGTAGCAATATGTAAGATTTTCATGTCAAATCATCATTAAAGGGCCCTAATATATCAAAAGGCATTAAAAAAACATGCTTGATTTTCGAATACTTGACACTGATAACAGTAGTTCAGCCGAGATAATAGAATTGCTAAATCTTATTATTGTTTTCATTTTGATTTTGCCGCCCTCTGTTGTTTCACTAATCAGAAAGTCTGTGATCCGGGTTGCCAGAACTCACCACGTCGAGGAAATCTAGCTGGTAAAGTACCATGTGGCCACAGAACTAAAAAAGGTCTCGTTATGATTCTCAAATCATTCATGACAAAACGAGGAATAAAACCTGGATTTCTATCGAGGCCTTTGTGAAAAATGTGTTGGTTATAGATTTGTTGTTGACAATACTCTTGCCTATTCAGCTGTTATGGTCCCAGCTGGATTTGTCTGCATATCTGGCATCCCCAGTCAGAGAGAGTGGGAGAGGACTACAGAATATTGGCCATGATTGCAGTACCACTTTTGACCAATTTTACATATTGTTCCTTTAACTGAATTTAAATAAACTGTTCCATGGACTCTTGCCTGCTGCGCTGGGACCATACCGACCCACACAAAGAGTCCTGCCATACCATGTGGGCTGGATCAGCTGTGCATTTCCAGACGGGACACTGCCCAGTGCCCACATCATGCAGAGATCGTGTCTCACTCTGGCCACCAGAATGTGGAACATGCTGGACTCTGAATGTGTCTCTAGTGAATCTTTGGGAGAATTCATGGAGCACCTTAGGGTGAGGCTCAGGGATGAACTATTTGAAAACTTCCCTCATAACTAGACTCTGGGGTGGGGGCATTTAATTCCAACGGTCATGTGACCATGGAAATGTAATGGGTTTCTTTTCAATTAAATTTTTAGACGATTTTAAGGATTTATATATAAAAAAAACTGGACACAACTGAATGAACATGACTGAGTGTGTATGAAGGTATGACACAGACCTGAGCTCCGGGAGTCCTCCGCCTCCAGGACACACTGCGGGGGAGGGGCTGCTTCTCGATGGCACAGGAGCAGCCCAGAGCCTGGAGAGAGGACAGCAGGGTCCCCCCACCCTCCAGCTGTAAGAGCGCTGAGGACACATAGGATGCCTTTTTGATAGTTATAGAATATTTCATCATATGCTATACATTTGTAACACTCCCAGAATTCTGAAACCAGAACTCCCAGAGCAGTTATTTTGAGGGCTCAGATTAAAACCAATGGAATTCTGAAAAAAAATAAAGTGAGTTAACTAGTTTTATAAAAATTAAATTTTTCAGTTTTTATTATACCTTTACTCTCTATACTCACTTAATATGTGCTAAAACTGGTTGCTGTCATTTTAAACACATAAAAACAGTTTGATTTAAAGGCTTAATACTAACTGCTGCATGTAATCAGTGCGTTGCTATAGTAACAGGCTTTTACTGCCATATCATGTTGTTCCCTGTGCCACTGAAAATGGCAAATTTTGAAATTGAAATTGAAATTAAAATGCTGCTTTGGGAGTTAAAGGTAGAAGCTCTGTTCACATAAAATAAAATAACATTTCATAAAAATTAATGAGAAATATACAATCACAGGTTATGAAGGCCACAAAAAGGCACGAGCATTACACTTTCAAAACCAAAACCGGCAATTTGACTGACGGTTTGGGGTCAGACCTCATCTTACCTGGGTCCACCACTGCCACTATGTACTTGAGGCACTCCTCGGGCCGGAGAGCTTTGACGGCCTCGGCCATAGCCCTCCTCTCGGCCTTCTCCTGCTCTTTGTCTTTTCTCTGCTTCTCCTTGTCCATCTGTTTGAGCTCCTGCTGTGGCTGCTTCCTCCACTGCTCCTCCACCTCAGACCTCAGGGTGTCCTCCGCGCTCCTCTTCCCAGCTCTGGCCCTGGACGTGGCCACACTCCCCCTCACAGAGCCGCTTTCAGCCTGGAGCGCCACGATTTCTGTGAAGCCGCTTGGTGAACGCTCTGTTGTGGGTGGAAGAATGTCTAAGGGGAGAAAGACAAAACTATTAGTCTGTAATAAAGAACAGGAAATGTGTGATTGTTTTAATTGCAAAGACAATAGAAGCAGCTCGCACAGTCTGCAATAACAGGAACCTGTTTAAAACCAAAAGATGAGTGTGACACGATTACATAGTTAAGAATGTCACCATGAGCACATCCCCATTAGGGTTACACACTGTCCCTTCATACATACAGTCTGGTCTGGACACACTTGCTCTACAGTCTGTCTGGGGGCCCACCTCTTGGCTCCTGCTGCTGCTGCTGCTGCTGCTGCTGCTGCTTGAGGCGCAGGGCCAGTGGGACGTACGGAGTATCGTCTTCAGAGTCACTGCTTATGGTCATCACAGCAGGATGGGCAGAGGATGTGATGGGCGGTCTGTGTGAGGGGGTGGGCTTGAGCGATACTGGTGGTATGTTGAGGACCACCGGAAACTCCTCGTCCAGATCACTGTTTGAGTCAGTATTGCAGTCCATGTTTGATGTGCTGGAACTGAGGAAGAATCATGATGGCAATTATGTAGTCTGAGTGGGTTTCGTTCCTTGAAAATAGTTTTTTGAAATGTTTTTGTTATATTGAATAATAATAATTCATTTTATTTTCATGACACCCAAGGACGCCTTACAATCATGGATCTATAACATTAAAAGTACAGAATATAAAACATTTTAAAATTACAGCCAGTTTTTTGAGTGTAGAATGTCTGAAAGTCTGGAAAATAGAAAGCAGAAATGTGTATCATATTCATGGGATACAAATGAATGTGCTATTTTTAGGGGGGCATGTTTAAGTGTAATTCAAGTGTGTTTTTCTCGCCATACATGTTAGTATTACAACGCTCGCAATATAAATTAATAATTGATGTTGAGTTGGATGCAGTTCAGAGTTTGTTGTCACGCCATTGGCAGGGAACAGCAGTCTTTCTGAGCCAGTAACTGCGCTTACCTGATGTTTGCACACGTCCAAGATTTGCCCAATACTGTTCTTTAAAGATATAAAAGTGAGCTAAAGTGTTCTCTGAAGTGTTTTTATTCACGTACTGTCTGCATCAGCTTCAGACGAGGCGCGGGACATGTTTGATTCACCCGGGGAATGTTTACTTTACGAACAGTGGGACATGTTTCATGAACTCTGCTAAAACTGAGCGAATCAAATATTGAAAACGTAGTTTTCAACATGTCTAAGTATAAACAAGTAAAACACAAAAATATACTACATTATAACATAAAATCTCTTTCATTTTCCCAAAGATTCCACGTAGTAAAAGTTAAACACATCTTTATGAACGTCACACTGGCAAGCTGGTGGACGTGACGCAGACTGATGACGTTTCAACATGGCGGCGCTGGCGTCCTTGATGCTGAAGTCTCGCACAGGTATTCTGCTTCTAACATTGTTTTACCTGAAGTCTCTGCCTAAAATGCATTAGACACTGAGCTGAGGAGCGGCTTTAGAGCACCGTGAGCTGCTGCGGGGGTTGGAAGCTCTTCTTCCTCCGGAGCGGGGACACCCCTCATTCAGGCATGGCTGAAGAGGTGGATGTGTCGCTAACGCTGTATCTGCAAACTAACTTTATCATCTTTAAGTAAGCCAGTTACGTAAATCATGTAGAACTGCTATCAGCAATCGTTTGGAAGACTATAAATACAATACAAAAAATTGGAAGTAAGGCAGATGCAGTGTGGTGATATCATTCAAATGTCCTAGATGTTTTGCAATAACTTAGGTAGACATTTCGAAACATCTTGTATTGTTTTGTAGACTTTGGCTGGTGCAAGGCCTACATTTTGATTTTTAGACTTGTGCATTCCATTTTCTACTTCTGTGATCTTTTGTTTTGAATACAAAACTGTAATGACTGTTTAACAGACCAGTATGCAGTTTAAAATAGTATATCATGTTTTGTTTTGTTGATGTTTTTTCCAGGCCTGCTGCTCCCCAGTCAGTGCCTGCTGCTGGACTCCGTGAGATCTGCTTCCAAAAAGGCCGGTGGCAGTAGTAAAAACTTGGGAGGGAAGAGCCCGGGGCGCAGATACGGCTTTAAGAAACAAGATGGTAATTCAAGATTTCATCATCCTCTTATTTGTTTGATGCTGTAACAGTAATATTATTACCAGTAGTAGCACCGACTCAAAACCACCCCCCCCCCTCGTGCCGTTGGTGCCGTGTGTGGTGACGTTCGCTCCCGAAGCGGCTGCAGCGTGTGGCGTTCACTGAGGCTTCAGAGACGTGGATCCATGTTATTATTATAGATCCATGATGTAGTTCAGAGACATCGCTTTGACAGTTTACTTTCTGACCCGTTTGTCTCCGTGTGGTACGTCTGTGCGCGTACGTACAGTACATGTGTCTGCCTCTGTGTGTACATGTGTGTGTCTGTTTCTGAGTGCGTGATGTGCAGCAGTTCTGTACCTAATAATAGCAAATCTTCATATGAAATAGAATGAAAAATCATTCTATTTCACCTGTGTTTCTCCAGATCTTACTACATTTCTGATACTTTTGTCTTTTATTTGCCTGTTTCCATATTAAAGGCGACTTTGTCCATTCTGGAAACATCCTGGCCACACAGAGAAACTTGCGGTATCACCCTGGAGCTCATGTGAGTACTACAATGTTAACCCACTAGCTTAATGAAGCCCTACAAGCTGCTTGATGCTCGTTTTGGACGTTTTTCTTCAACTCACTCCTGTTGACTCACACTTGAACTGCTCTAAGATTTTAGCCATAACAGTTCTCACACCTGTCGTTATTGATAACTCCCATGTGCAGATGGTAGAGGAGGGGTTTCTAGGTTTAACTCTAATGACCTGAAATGAGAAAAAAACACTAACCAGGTCGTTAAGAAAGCTCGTCAGCGTCTTTCTGCTGAAGTTTCTGCGGAAACTTTGAGAATTTTCCACAAACTCAGAGAGAGAGTGAGAGAGAGACCTTACACCAGAGGTGTCCAAACTGGTCCAGAAATGGCCGCTGTGGCTGCAGGTTTTCTATCAGCCCCAGCAGGAGCAGAGCAGACTCCGCCCATTTCCTCAGTCTTAACCTGAAGATTTGATGAAATAGGTGGAATCTGCTCTGCTCCTGCGGGCTCTGATAGAAAACCTGCAGCCACAGCGGCCCTTTCTGGACACCTGCCTTACACCTATATCAAATCTTGTTACCAGTCCCCAGTCTCTCCTCTGATGCGTGTGTCTCCTTCAGGTGGGCCTCGGCACCAACAACACCCTGTTTGCTCTGGAGGACGGTCTCGTGCGCTTCACTAAAGAGGTGTACGTCCCTCCCCCTTACAGCCCCGAGGCGCGGGACGTCCTGCCACGGCTCCCGAGGGGCTCTGTGCTCTACAAGACCTTCATCAACGTGATGCCGGTCAAGCAAGAGGGCAAGTTCAGACTGCTGGAGCTGCAGTAGGTTCTAGATCCGGACTCTTGAGATTTTGTTCCTGCATCCACTGGACTTCAACACGGCTTCATGTTCCTACAATAACTCTGGTGTCAACATCAAAACATACAAACAAACAAACAATATTTATGTTCTACTTGTTCAGGTCTCCACTGTACAGCTGAATATCTGTAATATAACATCTATTATAATATAACAGCAGGTAACATTTTTTTTACAATTAAAATGTTTGTCATGTGTGTCATTGTGTATTCTGATGCATGTTGTGTTATTGTAAGGCGTTTTAAACTTTCTTTTCTCCAAGGGCTGAATTATTTTGGATGATCAAGTGCTTTGGGCCTTTGGGCAACAGTTAATGGATCATTTATCAAACGCAAGCCAGGTACAATTCATGTTTTTAAGTAAATAAATGCCAAACCAGTACAAGTACATTTTTGGTTTAAACCAACATTTAGCTAGATTTTAACCAAAAAGTACTTAAAACAATTATGTGAACTGTGTGTCTGTTCACTGGCTCATGCTGAAATGTCAGTCTGCTCTCAGAGCCTCCTCCAGAGCCTCAGTCAGTGGGGCTGTAGGCGGGTTAAACTGTGGAACTCTCTCCCCACCGGACTAAAACTCCAGACTAACATGACCATCTTCGGCAGAGAGCACAAACAGTGGTTAAGATCAAGACAGACTTGTTGTCACGTGTAAATTATATTTTACACGTGAAATAAAAGGATTGCATTTGTAATTATTTTAATTGTATTTAATTTTCTGCACTGTAAAAACCCCTGTTCGTCCAATGTTATTCTTATGTCCATATTAAATAGATAAATAATAAAATAATATCAGGATTTACCAATGGGACAATAAAAAGAATTGTTTTAAGAGAGAAGCCAATGTTCATTTAAAAGGTAATGTTTTGTCCTTTTGTTTTTATCAAAATGTACCTCACCCATTGTAAAAAACCAACGTGATTATTGTTTAATCAATCGATTGTGATCTTGCCTGAAACACTACTGTTACAATAAATAAAGCAGTAGTTAGGGCTGAAAGACTGTATTGAATACAATCTTTGATTACAAGATTGGCTCTGATTATGTTGACATCCTACTTTTATCTAAATCCCATATTTAAGATGCGATTGTGTAAAGTAGTGAAAAGATTCATCAAAGATAAAAGAAAAATTGTCACTACGACATGGATAGCTGCAGCTGAAGGCAGATGAGTGGCTGTGGTAGAAGATGTCCAGAAGATGGCGCCAGATGCACATCATTAGAATGCTTCTCAGAATGTTCCACAAACTATTCACCAACAGTTAGAAAAACAAAAATTCAACATATTAATTTTGTTGATACATTTATCAGTGCAGGAACTAAGCTGCGTGTGCAAAGTAAAATCGCTTTGTGCATTTTTAGTGGTTCATCACCCACACCTGACCTCATGCGGACATTGAGGTGGTTTGCTTTAGACATATGTTCTATTTATTTATCCAATACTTTGCCTCCTCTGTATTTGTAAGTGGGATTGTGTTCTTGTTCCATTTTCTTATCTCATGGGTTATGCAGAATATCAATCATTACTGATGTATCAAAACATCACATTCACTAATAAGACACGTGTAAAAGTGAAAGTTTTTCCATCATTTCAGGACCCCATGTGTTTGACAGCAGTGACTTCAGGAGTCCAGGTTCAGCACCGGGGACAGCTCCAGAGGTCACAGCCCCACACCACCTCCTGTAGAGAACCCCACTGCATCCAAGCTGGGCTTTCACAAAATACTCTATACATGTTCTTTGCAGACATATAGATTCTTTATTGATCCCTGTGGAAGAAATCCAGGAATCCAGAATGCTGGCAGTTCCGGCAGTTTCTTCTTTTTCAGTTTTCTACATATTGTGTTATCTGCCATATCATAGTGACAACACATCTGCATTTTGGCATCTGCAGCGCTCACACAATGACAAAGGTACGATGCATTTTGGGGGCAGTGCCAAACTTAAATGAGAGTTTAGTTTTAACACGTGGGCAAACTGTTTTCAGAATGAGATATGATTTACAAAAGATACTTTCTTTTATTTTTGTTTTTTAAATGACCAAACCAACTGAATACAACTGTAATGTCATGGCTTATTGTATTTGTTTACTGGGATATAATATATATAATAGAAATAATATATTTGAATGTTGAATCTATTATTATATAATACATGAATGGACACATTTATTCATGTATAATTTGGACAGTTTTGGTCCTCATTCCTCTTGTGTCAAACAAAGAAAACGTGTATGATCAAATGTGTGCGTTCCAATAAAGAAAGAATATTCAGTTTATATAACGGTAATCTTAGCACTACACACACGCACGCGCACCAGACACGGGCATGCTCGTGACTTCGTGGGGGGCGGGGCTTCTCTTACGGCCACACGGTGCTGAGGAGGCGTCATCCCGGAGCCCCTGAGGCGGGCTGCAGCCAGCATGGAACGGATGGAGTCTATGGAGCCCCTCTCTGCGTTCTACACCACGGCTTACCCAGAGATCCAGCCCGAGAGCGGCTACGGCTCCGGAGACAAGACCCCCCCTGCGCCTGCGCCTGCGTATGACCAGGAGCTGGTGCATAAGGTAAACAACAGTCTATACGGCTGGGCAAAGCATGGATCTGTCATAAAGGCATATAAAAGGGCAATGTGTGCTTCTGCTGTGTTTTTGAGCGACTCTGACAAGCAAGAGTCTGTAATGCTGAGCCCAGATGTTGGCCACTCATCTGTTCATTGACTAGTCACTTCACCGGATATTATTATTATTGCATATTCCATTCATCTGATATCTCTGCTCTGATAATCCACTAGTCATTATTTACCTCCTCCTATTGCTATTGTTTATTCTGGTCATATTCTCTGCAAGTACAAAACCAACATCTGTAAATGTGAGACCTCCTGGTGCTGCTGACTACAGTGTGTACCCCACAAGTGACTTATCCCTGGACCAAGTGCAATTATAGCGTTGTATTATATATATTATAGAGTTGTATTACCTTATGTTATTATTATTGTATTATCTCAGATCTGGTGTGATGTGTGCAAAACCTGAGGTCTCTTTATCTGGTTTATTCTGCTTAATGAAGGCTTGAAGTGAGACGGTTAAAATGTTATGTTATCTTAAAGGTATATAGGAGGATTTCTCTCTGGTCTTTTTTGACGAGCACGTATCCCCAGAATGAGGTTGGGAGGTTTTGATGATCCACCCAGAAGTAGAAAATCCTCCTCTACACCTTTAATAGCAGCTGTGACTAATGAACATTAGACTATAGCGATTGTTACTGTGATTGTTATGTCAAAATCAGTTTTGTATTGATTTTTCCAGAACACCACCTTAAAAATTTATTTTGTTGTAAATCAAAATTAAAACTCAAAGAATTGTTGACTTAAACTTTCGAATGAATTTGACCAAGCGGTAGGGGTGGGCAAAATATATCGTAGACAATCATATCGCGAAAGTGAATTTGAAGATATGCTTTTTTGTATTATTGTCTTTTTTTTCTTTATTCAATACATATTACAATTAAAGCAAGCAAGATGCCCATTCGTCAAATGAGTGCCTAAAGCGCCAATCGCGGCAAATTTCTAAAATTTGTAAATTTCAGAAAATATTGAGCAAGCCTTTTTGGTAAAATGTTCTTTCTTGTGTTACTTGAATTTGATTTTTAGTGTTAATATATGTTTGTGCATGTTTGCTATTTTACTATTTTTATAACATTGCAGATCGTTTTGTGTAAAAATTATTAATATCAAACATATCGTGACAATATCGTTATCGGGAGTTGGGAAACAAATATTGAGATAATTATTTTTGTTCATATCGCCCACCCCTACCAAGCGACGTCATCGAATCCATCTAGTTGGTCCTCCTAAGTGTCAATCATTCTGGTGATACGTGCTCGTCTAATAAGACCAGAGAGTTTTTCAAAAAGTGGAGAGGGATATTTTTTTAATTTGGGAATGTCCTCCTATATACATATTTAATTCCATCTTGACTTCCATTACAACTGTATTTTTCTCAGAAGATATTATTGATTAGGCTTCTATTATACACTGCAAAAAGTATCAAATAAAATTGTAGCACAAAATGACTAGTATTCAGTTTATTTTAGATTGATTACATGAGAAATGTTAAATACAGTTGAGTTGTCTGGAATGAGATGATGTCATTTATGAAAATCTGGTCAGTCTCCTGACCTCTCCTCCTCTCGCTTCTCTTTTCTCCTCTCTTGTCCTCTCCTCTCTTGTCCTCTCCTGTCCTTTCCTCCCCTGTCCTGTCCTCTCCTCTCCTGTCCTCTCCTGTCCTCTCCTCTCCTCTCTTGTCCTCTCCTGTCCTCTCCTCCCCTGTCCTGTCCTCTCCTCTCCTGTCCTCTCCTGTCCTCTCCTGTCCTCTCCTCTCCTCTCCTGTCCTCTCCTCTCCTCCCCTGTCCTCCTCTCCTCTCCTCTCCTCTCCTCTCCTCTCCTCTCCTGTCCTCTCCTCTCCTCTCCTCTCCTCCTCCTCTCCTGTCCTCTCCTGTCCTCTCCTTTCCTCTCCTCTCCTCTCCTCTCCTGTCCTCTCCTCTCCTCCCCTGTCCTCTCCTGTCCTCTCCTCTCCTCCCTGTCCTCCTCTCCTCTCCTGTCCTCTCCTCTCCTCCCCTGTCCTCTCCTGTCCTCTCCTCTCCTCCCCTGTCCTCCTCTCCTCTCCTGTCCTCTCCTCTCCTCTCCTGTCCTTTCCTCCCCTGTCCTGTCCTCTCCTCTCCTCTCCTGTCCTCTCCTCTCCTCTCCTGTCCTCTCCTCTCCTGTCCTCTCCTCTCCTCTCTTGTCCTCTCCTGTCCTCTCCTCTCCTGTCCTCTCCTCTCCTCTCTTGTCCTCTCCTCTCTTGTCCTCTCCTGTCGTCTCCTCTCCTGTCCTCTCCTCTCCTCTCCTGTCCTCTCCTGTCCTCTCCTCTCCTGTCCTCTCCTCTCCTCTCCTGTCCTCTCCTCTCCTCTCCTGTCCTCTCCTGTCCTCTCCTCTCCTCTCCTGTCCTCTCCTCTCCTCTCCTGTCCTCTCCTCTCCTCTCCTGTCCTCTCCTCTCCTGTCCTCTCCTGTCCTCTCCTCTCCTGTCCTCTCCTCTCCTCCCCTGTCCTCTCCTGTCCTCTCCTCTCCTCCCCTGTCCTCCTCTCCTCTCCTGTCCTCTCCTCTCCTCCCCTGTCCTCTCCTGTCCTCTCCTCTCCTCCCCTGTCCTCCTCTCCTCTCCTGTCCTCTCCTCTCCTCTCCTCTCCTGTCCTCTCCTGTCCTGTCCTCTCCTCTCCTCTCCTCTCCTCTCCTCTCCTGTCCTCTCCTCTCCTGTCCTCTCCTCTCCTCTCTTGTCCTCTCCTCTCTCTCCTCTCCTGTCCTCTCCTGTCCTCTGTCCTCTCCTCTCCTGTCCTCTCCTCTCCTCTCCTCTCCTGTCCTCTCCTCTCCTCTGTCCTCTCCTGTCCTCTCCTCTCCTCCTCCTGTCCTCCTCTCCTCTCCTGTCCTCTCCTCTCCTCTCCTGTCCTCTCCTGTCCTCTCCTCTCCTCCCCTGTCCCTCCTCTCCTCTCCTGTCCTCTCTCTCCTCCCTCCTGTCCTCTCCTCCCCCCTGTCCCTCCTCTCCTCTCCTGTCCTCTCCTCTCCTCTCCTGTCCTGTCCTCTCCTGTCCTCTCCTCTCCTCTCCTGTCCTCTCCTCTCCTCTCCTCTCCTGTCCTCTCCTCTCCTCTCTTGTCCTCTCCTCTCCTGTCCTCTCCTGTCCTCTCCTCTCCTGTCCTCTTCTCTCCTCTCTTGTCCTCTCCTCTCCTCTCCTGTCCTCTCCTCTCCTGTCCTGTCCTCTCCTCTCCTCTCTTGTCCTCTCCTCTCCTGTCCTCTCCTGTCCTCTCCTCTCCTGTCCTCTCCTCTCCTCTCCTCTCCTGTCCTCTCCTCTCCTGTCCTCTCCTCTCCTCTCCTGTCCTCTCCTCTCCTCTCCTTCCCTCTCCTGTCCTCTCCTCTCCTGTCCTCCTCCTCTCCTGTCCTCTCCTCTCCTGTCCCTCTCCTGTCCTCTCCTCTCCTGTCCTCTCCTCTCCTCCCCTGTCCTCTCCTGTCCTCTCCTCTCCTCCCCTGTCCTCCTCTCCTCTCCTGTCCTCTCCTCTCCTCTCCTGTCCTCTCCTGTCCTCTCCTCCTCTCCTCCCCTGTCCTCTCCTCTCCTCTCCTGTTCCTGTCCTGTCCTCTCCTGTCCTCTCCTGTCCTCTCCTCTCCTGTCCTCTCCTGTCCTCTCCTGTCCTCTCCTCTCCTGTCCTCTCCTGTCCTCTCCTCTCCTGTCCACTCCTGTCCTCTCCTGTCCTCTCCTGTCCTCTCCTGTCCTCTCCTGTCCTCTCCTCTCCTGTCCACTCCTGTCCTGTCCTCTCCTGTCCTCTCCTGTCCTCTCCTCTCCTGTCCTCTCCTGTCCTCCTCCTGTCCTCTCCTGTCCTCTCCTCTCCTCCGTCCTCTCCTCTCCTCTCCTGTCCTCTCCCTCCTCCTCTCCTCTCCTGTCCTCTCCTCTCCTCACCTGTCCTCTCCTGTCCTCTCCTCTCCTCCCCTGTCCTCCTCTCCTCTCCTGTCCTCTCCTCTCCTCCCCTGTCCTCTCCTGTCCTCTCCTGTCCTCCCCTGTCCTCCTCTCCTCTCCTGTCCTCTCCTCTCCTCTCCTCTCCTGTCCTCTCCTGTCCTCTCCTGTCCTCTCCTCTCCTCTCCTGTCCTCTCCTGTCCTCTCCTCTCCTCTCCTGTCCTCTCCCTCCTCTCCTGTCCTCTCCTCCTCCCTGTCCTCTCCTGTCCTCTCCTCTCCTGTCCTCTCCTGTCCTCTCCTCTCCTCTCCTGTCCTCTCCTGTCCTCTCCTGTCCTCTCCTCTCCTCCTCCTCTCCTCTCCTCCTCCTCTCCTGTCCTCTCCTCTCCTCCCTGTCCTCCTCTCCTCTCCTGTCCTCTCCTCTCCTCTCCTGTCCTCTCCTGTCCTCTCCTCTCCTCCCCTGTCCTCTCCTCTCCTCTCCTGTCTCTCCTCTCCTCTCCTGTCCTCTCCTCCCCTGTCCTCTCCTCTCCTCTCCTCTCCTGTCCTCTCCTCTCCTCTCCTGTCCTCTCCTGTCCTCTCCTCTCCTCTCCTGTCCTCTCCTGTCCTCTCCTCTCCTGTCCTCTCCTCTCCTCTCCTGTCCTCTCCTCCTCTCTGTCCTCTCCTGTCCTCTCCTCTCCTGTCCTCTCCTCTCCTCTCTTGTCCTCTCCTCTCCTCTCCTCTCCTCTCCTGTCCTCTCCTCTCCTGTCCTCTCCTCTCCTCTCTCTGTCCTCTCCTGTCCTCTCCTCTCCTTCCTGTCCTCCTCCTCCTCTCCTCTCCTCTCCTCCTCCTCTCCTGTCCTCTCCTCTCCTGTCCTCTCCTGTCCTCTCCTGTCCTCCTCTCCTCTCCTGTCCTCTCCTCTCCTGTCCTCTCCCTCCTCTCCTGTCCTCTCCTGTCCTCTCCTGTCCTCTCCTGTCCTCTCCTCTCCTCTCCTGTCCTCTCCTCTCCTGTCCTCTCCTCTCCTCTCCTGTCCTCTCCTCTCCTGTCCTCTCCTCTCTTGTCCTCTCCTCTCCTCTCCTGTCCTGTCCTTTCCTCTCCTGTCCTCTCCTCTCCTCTCCTGT